AAGATGGTAGTGGATTGGTGTGAGAAATAAACACAAGTCTACTGTATTTTCCTAAGAGGAAAATGTTTTTTCCCCAAATACCTTTCCTTTAAAATATGTGGGTATTGCTAAATTACTGAGAATATAATTATAGAGGCAAAGGAGTCTGTTTCTTCTTTCTATTCTTCCTTTGGGATTTGTATGTATATGTGTCTGTCTCTCTATTGGTCTGGGAAGGTGATGTTAAATTCAGTGTCATCCTATTTTTAATTAAATATTATCTGTCTCATTGCAATAGGCTTCAGAATTATCTACTTTTCATTGGTGCTGCTGATAATGAATCAGGATTCAATGACGTTTTTTAAAAAACATTTTCATTTCTGAAATTTGAAAATCATCTTCGGTTGCAAAGATGATAATGTTCTGAACAGTTCCTTATTTTTTTTAACCAGTGTCTCTTGAGAATATTCTATGAATAAGGTGGAGAATTTTGATCCACTTTAAGCACTACTAATGGAGCCGGCAGATTTTTAAAATTATTTATTATTAGATTTATGCACCACCCATCTCGTCTCATTTACAATCCTTAGCTCCCTTTCACCCTCCAATGTGAACTATAAATATAATTAACTAACATTATTTGGAGAATTCTGCCTTGTCCGTGGAATAGTTGGTGAAATACCTCCACCCTCAACACAACACCTACTCATGAAACCTACCATAATGAAAAGATTAATATTTAGTAAATTTGAATCTGTCATATTTTAAAATTAGAACAACCTTATTTGGAAACCTCTTTAAGGTATTTCCAAACAGAAAATATGCTTGATTAACCTCTTAGGAGTCTACCATTGAAGAATCAGTACAGTTTGTTAGGTCAGAATTCATAATCTTTAAAATGTTACGTAGCATTTCAGAATCTCCTGATTAGTAGGGAAGGACAAAACCTCTTCAGTGAACACCTGGTAGAACACTAACCTAGAGACCTTAATTATTTCATCGGCATTTTACACCAACAACTCATTATACAGTGTTATTAAAATAGCCACAATGCCACAACATTAAACTTTAAAATGACAAAAAATGAGATCCATTTAATATTTTTATTATTTTCTAAATGGCACAGAGCGATAAAAAGCTTATATAAAAGTTCTGCAGACAAATAAATAGAGAAGAAACAAATCTAGCATGTGTACAAAAAATTGTGTTGCCTGATATGTAAACTTTAGCCAAAAATGGCAACTGATAACTAGATGACCTCCAAGGTCCCTTCCAACTTTACTACTACTACTACTACTACTACTACTACTACTACTACTACTACTACTATTATTATTATTATTATTATTATTATTATTATTTGACTCAAGTGCTAATTTTACATATTTATTTTATATAGAATAAAATAAATTTAACCAATTTACACACTTGGGTATTAGAGCCATTAGGATTATTAAGGAAACACTCACTAGTTTTTAGAATCTCCATCATCCCTTTCTTCAGAAATATACCTATAAATATACCTATGGGGTATATTTCTACCATGCAGTATTATAGACATGTCATTAATATTCAGTTTGAAATACCAGTAGATTTCAGTAATTTATTGATTTTATATACTGCTTTAGCCATTCCTATTTAATCATTTTTAGCATTACGTATAGTTTTATATAAAAGTATACTTATTGCATAAATTTCCATAGTTGTATTCATAGATGATTTTGAAATCCTAATTTTACATATAAAAAACATCATATGAACTCCAAAACTGAGTTAATTAACCCAGGAATTAGATTTAACTCCATACAGATTATATATCATTGCAATCAAGTAGGTCATTTCTTATCACACAAGCTATTTATGGGAGGATTAACTGTTTTTTTTCTGATGTCATTGATAGAGATAAGCTTCTAGAGAAGTCCCATGAAAGTAGATGCTAGGAGTTCAACCTCTCTGTTCTTGTGGGTTCTTCTGTTTTCATTTTCTGCAAGAAGTATGTGAGCCTACATGAGTTTCTGTGTGAGAAATGTCATTTCTAAAAGAGAAATGTGAAATGGCAGGAAGTAGAAAAGGAAGTAGTAGCCTCGGTTTTGATGGCTGGATTAGAAACACAGTATTTAGATGACTAAGCTGTGTTCGGCATGATAGCATGGAGAGTACTTGCCTATAAAGTGATCAAGAGTTAGACATGACTAAATAGTTAAAAGCCACAACAACAGTTAGATTGTATCATATAAGATTGTGTGCTACTGCCACACCAAGGGGAGTCACATGACACAGGGGTTGGATCTTCTTTCTCATCTAAATAGGGACATGCATTCCAACTGGTACCCGGAACTAGTAGTATTATATGCAAACTACAGCTATTTTTATTCTATTTTCATCTGTTTTGAGAGAGAGCAACACTTTTTTCTTGAGAATAAACTTAATAAATTCCTATCGTATAAAACTGATATCTACTGTTATGCAAGCCAATTGTTCCAATCCTTTCCTCTGATAACTGAAGTGCAAGGTCTTTATTTATACATGGAATGTTCTGAGTTACAATTTAATGTTAAAATGTTAAAAAGATATATTTGAATATATCTCAGATGTATTCAAGAACAAGAAAGGCTAATTTAATACTTCTCCTTTGTGTAAGTGCTTGATGGGCTTTTCACTGTATAAAAACAGTAACCTACCGTACAAAGCTGTCACGGTTATTACTCTTGTGTTTTCGAAACATTTAAGCTCCTAATTTATGTAGTGTAATAAGCAGTCACCCCTTAGGCAGATCATGTTTGATTTATTAAGCTAACTTTTAAGCATCCAGTATTGACAGATTTCTGGAAACACTAACAGACTCCAAATAAAAATTTACTACATCTACCAAGCAGCTTTTTTTTTTTTTAACATTCCAAGTACTTTATGGTTAATTCTCCACAGCAGCCCTGTACAAGAAAAAGAAAACATATGCCTTGGATCCTTCCTCATTTTGCTTGTTTGTTTCCCGCCTTTATTATTTTTAAAAATAACACAAGGCATCTACTACGCTTTCCTTCTCTTATTTTTCCCCACAACAGAAACCTTATGAGATGGGTTGGGCTGAGCGGGAGTGACTTGTCCAAAGTCATCTATTGGCTTCTAGACTAAGGCAGGACTAGAACTCGTGCTCCTCTGCTTTCTAGTGTGGTGCCTTAACCATTGGACCAAACTGGCTCATCTTCAAACTGTAGAGAGAAAAGCTACAGCAGTTTGATAGACATCAGTTGATGTTAACCAGAACTTTGTACTTTTTCAGCTCTTGGGAACAGTTTCTTTATTATTTATGAAGTACCAAAGGAGCAAAGAGACCCAGTTTGGTATAACAGTTAAAGGCATTTGACTAAGACAGGGGTAGGCAACCTTGGCTCTTTTATGACTCGTGGACTTCAACTCCCAGAATTCCTCAGCCAGCATGGCTCAGCTTGGAAACCTCTCCCTTTCCCCTCAGCATGGCCGGCTCAGGAATTCTGGGAGTTGAAGTCCACAAGTCATAAAAGAGCCAAGGTTGCCTACCCCTGGACTAAGAGAAACATGTTCTAGTCCTTCCTTAAGCACAGAAGGTAGTTGGTTGTCTTTGAGCCAGTCACTCTCTCTCAGACCTAGGAAGCAGGCAATGGCTAGATAGTTCTGAAAGGCATTTCAGAAAACTGCAGAGGCATCTCAAGTCAAGGATGATGCAAAAAACCAAAGAAAACAACTAAAACAAAGATCAGATCATCTTAAAGGAATCCTACTAACACAAAGCCGTAAACTAAAGTGATAATATAAAATGAGTGAAAGAAAATGATATAAAAGTATTAATGGGGATAGTAAAAGAAGGGCAGGAGGAAAAAGTTAAGGAAAAACAAAACAGAGAGAGATTATCAGGATACCCCTTCCTTATTTATTTCATAGGCAATAGGGATTAAACTATCTGAAGAATCAATAACCTTCCAGTTTCTAGACAATAATTAAGATTCAACTGTATGAAAAAGAAGCAAAAAAAGATATGAGAATTAATCTTACGAAGGGAAAAATGCATGATTTTCCAGTAAAAACAGCAATATGAATGGTGTTGAGGAAGAAATGAGCATCTGAGGAAACTAGCACTGCCTTTGCCAACTGCCTAATGCAGACATGTCAAACTCGCAACATCATGTGACGTCGCGCAACATATTGGGACGGTTTTGCCATTGCCGGCAATGGGGTGGGCGCGGCTTCCAGATGACGCGTCCAGACCACAGACCGGCAGTTTGACACCCCTGGCCTAAAGCAGTCTGAACCATTCTGAACTAGATACACTTGAAAGCAATTTAAATTAGATCTATCCCCTATTTTTTCTTTTGTCCTGTTAAGAATTATATTTATTACTCGTTTCCTTAATAATAATAATAATAATAATAATAATAATAATAATAATAATAATAATAATAATAATAACAATGATGATGATTATGATGATGATGATGATAATAATAATAACAGAGTTGGAAGGGACCTTGGAGGTCTTTTAGACCAACCCCCTGCTCAGGCAGGAAACCCTATACCCGTGGTGGTGAACCTATGGCACGCGTGCCACAGGTGGGACGTGGAGCCTTCTCTGTGAGCACGTGTGCCATCGCCCCAGTCCTAGGGCTCCAGTTGGGTTTTATAAAACCTTTTTGCTTTAGGTCTCCACCGCCGCGTGCAAAAAAAAAAAGGTTCAAACAATCAATTTCAACTTCTCGCAGGAAAAAAATATCTCGCAAAGTTGGAATTGATTGATTGAACTTTTTAGTCCCACCCAGTCTGCCGTTACCACCGCAGCCATGCCCACCCAATGGGCCACACCCACCCAATGGGCCATGCCCACCCGGCACCCGATGACACATAAGTGGGTTTTGTGTTGCAGTTTGGGCACTCGGTCTCTAAAAGGTTTGCCATCACTGCCCTATACCACTTCAGACAAATACAAAGTACTCAGAGTAAAAGCTCAGGCAACAAAAGCGTTTAAACCCTTATATTTTCTTGGGGCTTACCAGATTGTCGATGCTGCGGATCTTCTAGGAATTCCAAATCAAGCATAAGGTCATCCTCTTCCAGGTCACAGGAGCCGAGGTTATTCAATACATCCTGTAATACACCCAGAAAAAGGTTATATTAAGGAGGAGGAGGATAAAAGATCAACAGTAGCAGCACAGAAACAACTTAATGGGTTTGCTGGAAGTAATATGAATTAAGTGAAGAATTGCTTCAACACCAGACACAGACATAAAGGATGTACAATATATAAATTGAAATTGACAACAAAGGGAATATTTTCAGCACTGTCCCATCAACATGCATTAAGTCGAGATCTGTGGAATATTTAACAAATTCTTCAGATGTGAGAACAACCCCACTAGAACGGGGGGGGGGGGAAGCTCCATCTGGTTTTACAGTATTCTCCCAGTGATAGTCAGTTAGACCACTGATAAATTGATGTTTAGAAAGGGTTGCGTGGGTTGAAGAATCCAATTTTAATTTTGATCCAAAAATGTATCCTCTGGGAATATAGGAATTACTACACATCTCAATGGCTTATGGGTCATACAACTATGATAAAGGAACTTTATCATACACTACCTGTACAATTTATTCTGGATGAGAATGTTAGTGAAACAAATAGAAAAAAATATTCAAGCATAATTTCAGTCAAAGCCAATGAAATGAAACATATTCAGGGAAGAAGGAACTACAACAGATTTGACAGAAAGTGTCCTGTATTCTTTATTACTGATCCTGGTATCTGGCAACCCTATCAGTAAAACTCAAGAGCTAGGAAGGCACCATAAAATAAATTATGATAGTATCACAAATTCCTTGTTTGTTCTTAGAATGTCTTCAGAACCATGCCACATGATTTTTTAAAGATCTTACACAGAAGTTCTGGATGATGGGATATTATTTTGCACTACAAAATCTCCAGGATCTCAGAATATGATGAAGGTGTTTGATACAAGAATATGTAATGATTTGTATGAGACAATGGGATTATCTTGAATTATCTGCTCATAAAACAGCTCTTGAACATGAGATATGAACCATTAAATAAATACTAGACTAGGAAGAATATAAAAGAATTCATATGAAGCCACCAAGTAATCCAAAACTGACTCCTTTGTTTCTTGCATATTATTTTGATAATGCTTGTAAACAAATACCTCATAAGAATTCATGTAGAAATGTACTAGTTATGCTAAATTAACTCTGTAATCTGTTTATTTGATTTTTTTTTCTGTTTTAAGTTGTGATATAATTGCCTAAATAAATAGCATTATTTTCTGGCTCAGAAAACTGTGATTTTGGGACCAATAAGGTATAATAATAATAACAACAACAACAACAACAGTAATAATAATAATAATAATAATAATAATAATAATAATAATAATAATAATAATAATAATAATAATAATAATAATAATAAGAAGAAGAAGAAGAAGAAGAAGAAGAAGAAGAAGAAGAAGAAGAAGAAGAAGAAGAAGAAGAAGAAGAAGAAGTAGTAGTAGTAGTAGTCCCCTAATCATCATTGTTGCTCTTCTCTGTACTCTTTCTAGAGCAGGGGTCTTCAAACTTGGCCCTTTTATGATTTGTGGACTTCAACTCCCAGAACTCCTCAGCCAGCGTGCCTTTAGTCTCAAGGCCAGTGGGAGAAGATACTTCAAAACTCTGAATATAGTAAACTGTTACTCTAATGGAAACTGACTAGTAAACTGTTAAGCTCAATGAATGTAAATCAGCGGTTCCCAATTTTTTCTATATCCCGCACCCCTAGAACGCTTCTAATATATTCTCACACCCCTTACAAAAGTTTGAAATAATGGCAACAAATTATGCATATACACTATAATTTTGAAAACCCAAGTTATCGCACCCCCTGGAATAAACCCCTGATTTAAATATTAAGCTAAGTAATTAAGACAGATACTAACATAATTTTCAAATATAAAGCAAGACCTAGAGGTGGAGCTCTCGCCTCACAATCAGGAGGCTGTGAGTTCGATCCTTGATAGCTCCAGATATTTCTTTCTCTATGAACAAAGAGAAAATATCTGCTGCTAACACCATATAGATGTCAGGAAGGGCATCCGACCAGTAAACACTTAGCTCTATTCAGCCACCCGAACTCCACCCCAATGCAAAGAATCACAGGGTCATTAAAAGAAAAAAAAACTTAGAACTCAAAAACAGTGTCATTCATCACAATTAACTATTCTAACTTGGACACCTCTTATACCCACCTTTTATAAAATTACTATTATTAAGGCTATCTATAGATTCAACTAGTTCAGACTGCAAAAATCTGGATGATCCCAGATGGCACGGAAGAGACATACAAAACTCTAACTGCATCATGTGGAATTTAGGAAATCCAGACATAGTTCTCATTAGAACTTTGATTTCCATCTGTTAACATGATAGGCAAAGTTTTAACAGTATGTGTGTGCCGGTGTGCATGTTTGTATAGCCTTTAACACTACATGTCAATTTTTAGTTTAAAATCGCCCCCGTTAAACATATTCTATTAGTTAGGAGTGGAAAGGAAAGGAAGAAGACATTTCTCATAACTTGTCCCAAAAAAATGCTGACAGATGAATGCTGACATGTTCACCTCCTTTTTTTTAACCTCCTCAAAGGTTTAATTACTGCTTGCAGAAAAATGTTTCAGCAAAAGGCCTTAATAAAACCCTCCATTTATTTTGAAATAGCCCCTTAGAAATTCTAAAATACAACTTCCTTCTTTTGCTAAACATGCTGATTTTAATCCCCGCTGTACCTGTAAAATGAAGCTAAAATAGGCTTTGCTGTTTTGCTCAACAACTTATATTTGTATTGAGACACTTCTCTTATGCTAAAGTGTGTGCCATGTCACCAAACAATGCAGGTAAATACCTCTGCAGTGGATTTAGGCACCTGCAAGCTGGCTGATAACTCTATTTTATAAATCTAAAAGCCCCAATCGTTTTTTCCAAGGCATGGTGGTGGGGAGGGGGGGGTAGAAACTCTAAACTGTGAGAATAACCTTTAAGTTCCTTTTCCCTCAATCTAAGTAGGTAGCAGAAGCAACCTCTGTCTGTAGAAGCAGACTTGCCATTGGGATTCAAAATATCTGCCCCAATGCCCTGGGAAAACTGAAACCAGTAAAGTAAACTTGGCAAGGAAAGTGTAGATCAGGGGTCTTCAAACTTGGCCCTTTTATGACTTGTGGATTTCAACATGCCTGGATGAGGAATTCTGGGAGTTGAAGTCCACAAGTCATAAAAGGGCCAAGTTTGAAGACTCCTGGTGTAGACAGTAGTGTCGCAGGTGGCTTTTCAGTGCGGCTTTAACTCAACTGGTCGTATGGCATCTCTCACACACTACTGAGACCTTTATACATTCTTCTTGATCAACCCCACCCTCTCCCCATGCATCCAATCTGCAAAGCATCTCTTGCCTTGGAAGTCCTTCCAACAAGGAAAGGGTGGAATCCTTCTGTAATTATTTAAAGGCAAATCCATCATTACATTGGATACTTAATGCCAAGTTACCAAATTATTCAAATTTACTTCATGGATTCTCAAGACAGCACAGAATTGAAAATGTTGGAATTCAATCTGCGATAGATGAATGATTGAAAAAGCTATGATGACAATGAAACTCATACACTGTGTCCCTTCTACCTAAAAAAGAACAAATTTGAGATATACTGGAGGTTTCCACTGTCACTGATCCTGAGTAGCACTCGAACATGAGATACAACTTAATGCACAAATTGTCAAAAAGGCTCCATCTTTATACCAAACAACACTGACTGATCCAACAGCACATCGTGTTGAAAGAATGAGGAGGTGGTTTGCAAATAATTTCAAAATCCCATCGCTCCTCTGACAGCTTTCAATACATTCTTTTCCCCTCTTGAAGATAATGGCTGGCATCCTCAGCTCCAATTGACAAACAACTAGAAACTAATGGCAATGTGTTACTATGCATATTGAATAATGAACCATGAGAATGAGCTTAATAACCTTCCAAGAGGAGGATGTCTATTCCAACAATATGTGGTGACGTAACTGCTAAGACTGATGGCGACAGGCTGAGTTACACCCGAATAAATCAACAGCCTTGAGATCAACAACACGAAGAGATCCGACTGATGCATTGAATGATGATGACTTTAGAAACATTGGAAGGTGCATCATCCTCTCCTGACATTTGTTGGTGGTCCAAGATATATTATGGAACAATATTAAGATGCCATGATGCATGAAAGTATGGCAATGCTTCACTTTCATTAAAATGACATGCAATTATAAAATCAACACAATCCGTACGTGCTCATTCTATTTCTCTATTTAAGTAAGAAATTATCTCTGAAAGGATAACCCAACAGGTCACAGGTTGTCTAGTGCAGAGGTCCCCAACCTTGGCAACTTTAAGACTTGTGGACTTCAACTCCCAGAATTCTGGGAGTTGAAGTCCACAAGTCTTAAAGTTGCCAAGGTTGGAGACCCCTGGTCTAGAGTATCCCTATTTCCATGCTACATTATTGCATTAACTCCTCCCTGTTTTAAATAGATATCTATATAAAATTTATCCTCATGGAATTGCAAGAAATTAAAATGCAGCATTTTTCTGTAGATGTTTAGAAGAGGTACCCTCTTCTAGCAGTTTGACAGTAGGAAAAGAGATAGAAAAAGATAGGAGGGGGGAAGGATACAGCAGAGGTAATGCATTCCATTTATTATTTTTAGGCACCAGTTTTGGAATTTGCAACTCGAATATTGGGGTGCTTTATCAAATCAAAGTAAAAACATAAGAGAAAAAAATAACATTCAATAGGGTCCACTTAGTTGCATGGTTCCATCTGTTGATTTGTGGTCCCTCCCAACATTCTGATTTATTCAAATGCAGAACTGTGTTTGTGTAAGTGTAAAACATCTAGAACAGAGTTTCTGAACTTGGGCAATTTTAAGATGCATGGACTTTATCTCCCAGAATTCTCCAGCCCCAACTTCTGAGAGTTGGAATTCCACACACCTTAAAGTTGCCGAGGTTGAGAAATATAGGCCTAGCACTTTCCTAGAACTCATTCAAAGATGGTCTCTTAA